GTGGCCTATCGTGAGCAGGTGCACTTGCGAATGAATGGGTAAGTCTAAATCTCTACAGTTTTTACATTTTCTTTTTAATTCAATATTCCCTGCGACTTCTTAGTTCCTCATTTATCCTATCATCATCCATCAATTATCAACAATCTATCATTTCACCATCCATTGCTCGTGAATAACGATTAAGTGTATTAATTGTTATTCATAATAACGCACGAACAACAATTTCCTTGCTAATATGCCGGTCGGGCAACATCTTTATTCATTTATTATAATTCTTGAGTTCAAGCTTGTTCCAATTTTCCTCTATTATTGTCTCTAACATATTCAACGACAGACCTCATTATTATCTTCTTTCAGTCCAAATGATTAACTTCAATGCAATTTCATACAACTGTATTCAAATAATTAACAACGACGCGATAACATTTGTAGATACGCGGATATTTACATTCTTTTAAAGATTTTTCTCTGAGGGTGGCTGATGATTAAAGAAAGTAATATCAACGATTTTTAATCTCTTCCCGTGCTTTAACGAGTCTGACTCGCGATGAAATTTTTGGCCCAAACATGAATATCACGAGCCAGGCTCGTGAACAAATAGTCGGATGCCAAACATAAACATCGTTATATAACGATCGTAATTGAATGTTAATTCCTATCAGTATGCCACGAGAGTTAGTCGTGATTCTTATAATTGCTGTTACAAAGCAGTTTAGTTATTAAAATTTAATAAACCCGTACAAAATGCAAAAATTTTAAATGAAGGAAATGACAACGAATCCAGTGATACTGACGTGTTAGTGCCAAACAGGAAGCGTCCAACGTGTATGATTATAGATGAGGTACGACGCGACAATCATGGATTTGGCACAAAGTAAAAAACACACCAATAATTTCGAAAAATTCTGAAACTCATGTCATAAAAGCGTCTGTTTTAAATAATTTAAGCGATGATCCAAAAATATTAGACCTATTTTTTACTATATTTGATAACAAACTTCGGGAAATACTTGTTACGGAAACAAATCGCTTCACACATCAGATACTGCACGACGAGCGTGAAAGACGGAAAGTGGACGACACTTGGTATCCTATTACCTTAAGGTCTAGCTACACAGTCGTGACGGCACCGCAACGGCACCGTAACGCAATGGGAACGTAAGGGGAACGTAATGGGAATGTAATGGGAACGTAGATCTCCGTAGATAGGAGGACGTAATTTTCAGTGCCGCAGTTTTTAGGACAAGGTATACGAAAAAGCGTGTAAAAGCAGGGAGCTCAGAGGTCCACGTTTGACACCGAATCGGCAGGCGGGGACTGCCTGCTGTTTAGGGTCCACTACCTACAGCACTGTCCTCCGACCTACGGAAAACTACTCTCTGCGGTACGGTGCTGTTGCGGTGACGTCACGTCTGTGCAGCTAGACCTTTGGACGAAATAAAGGCTTACTATGCACTGTGTATTTTGATGGGACAAGAAAAAAATCAAATATTCAACTGTACTGGACTATAAGAGCAGTAGTAGAAATGCCAATATTTAGAAAAACAATGCCTTCCAAGAGATTTCGGCAAATTTCGAGATTTTTACATTTTTCTGATAATGAAACTGCTAATAATAATTACCGACTTCGAAAGGTAAGACTTATCATCAATCTGTAGAATGAAAAATTTAAAGAAATTTACACACCCAATGAATATGTCGGTATAGATGAATCCTTGATGAAATATAAAGGGCGATTAGCGTACGAACAATTCACTCTGTCGAAAAGAGCTCGATTTGGATTAAAAATTTACAACTTGTGCGAGGCAAGTACCGGTTTCTGTCATGGATTTAAAATATATACCAGCCAGGACAAAATCGATCGAAACAATTGTGTCTCGGAAAACGTTGTGACAGAGTTGTCAAAATCTATAATAAGCAAGGGATATACTTTGTTTCTGGACAACTAGTACTCTTCACCCAACCTCTTTTTAAAATTGCACCAGAAAAAGACAAACGTTATGGAGACAGTACGTAAGAATAGGAAAAATATGCCAAAAGACATTCGAAAGCGTATTTTGAAGAAAGGAGAATGTGTATGGAGGTGTTGCAATAATTTGATAGCTCTGAGATGGAAGGACAAGCGCGGCCTGTATATGATATCAACGAAACACTGTTCCCGACGTGCGGGAGGGGCTCAGGCGTGGGCAATAAAAAATCGGCGGATGAACGTTTCAACGTGGCTGTGATCAGCCACGAAAGC